CATCTATATATACATCTATGGTGTCTCTTATTTACTACTTGAACATTCAGTTCATGAGCCTTTGGTATGTAGCTCCCGCATTCTTTAGGGTAAAAGGCATGACCTTGTAGCAATAAATCCCTCTCAGAATAATGAAAGTAGTCTTTTCTTGGTCCGATGGATGGAGCAAAATTTGATGGTAACCACCAGTTGGTCCACCTTAGGAAGGGGGAAGTCATCCTTAGGGCAAGTTTTGTTCAATTCGGTGAAGTCTACGCAAACGTGCCACTTCCCACCCTTCTTCTTTATGCAAATCATGTTTGATAGCAATTCTGGGAACTGTACCTCCCGTATGATGTTGGCCTCCAAGAGCCTCTCAACCTTTTCATTCACCGTTTGGGCGTGATGTGGCGCTGTGCGCCGAGACTTCTGCTTCACCGACTTATAAGTGGGGTCAACATGAAACTTATGAGTTACAATGTCAGGACTTATCCCCTTCATCTCTGTGGCGTCCCATGCGAACACATCTACATTCCTTAGGAAATTTGTCATCTTTTCCTGCTCGGTCGGGGATACGGTGGAGCTGACCAAGAAGTATTTTTCTTTATCTCCTTCCACCAGAAGTACCTTTCGGAGATCCTCCATCGAGCGATCTCCTGGATTTGTCTGGGGATCGTCTACTCTCAGACGCTTGGATTGTAATTGCTATTTGTTTAAGATCTCTTTTGGGACTCGTTCCTTTTCCTTGGAGACGACCTCTGCCCTTACTATTGAATAGAAATAATTTTTGGTGGACGCTTGGTCCCCACGGATCTCTTTTACTCCCTCTGGATTGGGGAACTTTAACTTTTGGTGATAGGTGGAATGCACGACCCCTAGGGTATGCAACCAGGCCCACCCCATGATAATATTGTACGGTGAGTTGGAGTCGATCACGACAAACTCTGTGTTGATTGTGATGGGCCCAGTGGTAATTGGCAGCGTGATTTTGCCCAAGGGTAGGGTGTATAAGCTGTTGAATCCAACGAGGGGCGTACTGACTTTGGTGAGGTCGTGGGGACCCAACCCCATGCATTTTAAAACTTCCAGGTACATCATCTTGGAAGAACTCTTGGAGTCCACCAAGACCCTCTTGACGTCAAAGTTATCGATCTTCAAGGTCAGGACCAGGGCGTCTTCGTGGGGGAGGACCACGTCTGCTTGATCAGTATCAGAAAAGAAGATGTCCTCCTTGTTAGGTCGGGGCCTCTTGCTCGGCTGACACTCCTTTTTCTCGTCCACCTTCCTTGTGAATGATACTTTCTTAAGATCAAATTTGAGAGTCTTGGATGTTAGACGCTCCAGCGGGCAAACATGGATGACGTCAATTATATTGCCACGGACAGTGACTTGGTCATTGGTGCCACAAGTCTCTTCCGGCGTTGCTTCCTTGATGTATTCTTTTAAATGCCCTTCCTAGACCAGTTTCTCCAAAAAAGACTTGTAAACTCTACAATCTTTGATAAGGTGTCCAAAGCCCTGGTGGTATGAACATTTCACCTTCTAATTCCGGGTGGGCGGATAACTTGCATCTTGGGTGGCCATTTGAAGAAGGGTTCCTTTTTGATCTTATGAAGTAATTTGTAGATGGGGTCCTTGAACACGGTGTGGATCCCTTTAAAGGAACTTCCTGAGAGAGGTAATAACCCCTTGCAAGAAAAGGCGCCCTTTTTCTCCTATCATTTCTTTTTTGGGGCGAGAGTCTTCCCTTTGCCCCACCATCTCATCCTCAATCCGAGAGTACTTATTTATTCGGGCCATCAATTCTCCCATATCTACTGGTATTTTTTTGGTTAAGGATCGGTAGAGATCGATGTCTTGAGAGAGGCCTAGTCTAAAGGAGGTTACAACCATAACCTTAGAACATCCTTCCACCTTATTTACCTCCTCTTAGTAACGAGTGGCGTACTAGTGGAAGGTCTCTCCTTCCTTTTACCTTAGGGTCAATACTGACCCGACGTCTTTGGATTGCCTACTCCCTATGATGAACTGGGCCGAGAACTGTCTAGTCAGCTCTTTCTAAGATCCTATGTTGTTGGATGGAAGGGTTTCAAATCATTTCATGGTAGAGTCTCCCTGACTCATTGAAAATACTCGGCATAGTAGTCAATCGTCCAAGTGGTACAAAGACATCATTTGTTTGTACTGCCTGAGGTGGGCTTCTGGGTTAGTTCGTCCGTCGTAAATCTTGAACCTTGGTACCATAAACTTCTTGGGAACCTCCATCTCCACAATATTCCTTGTAAAAGGCAACTGGATGGCTTCATCATCGGTGTCATCTTCTTGTAGGGCCTTATCCCTCCTCTTGGAGTCTAGCCGTGTTTTGAGGTCATTCCCCTGTTCAGGGGACATCCCTTCATATTATCGGTGTTGACCGGCACTATCCTTTGTCCCTGGGTGTCGGACAAAGAGGGTCGACCCCTCCTCGGACCCTTCCATGCCCCCTCGCTCAGATAATCCCTGATGGAGGTCGTTCCAAGCCAATGACCTAGCCCTCTTGGCTAAGACCTCTGGGAGATGCCCCCCGGCCCTCGGGTATTTTAGGTCCTTAGAGCCTCTTGCTCTAGTAATCAGGCGCTTCCTTAGATCCTCAGGTCCTACCTCCCTGACAAAGGATTCGCTGGACCGCGACAGGTCTTGAAACCCACCACTAGAGGACGCGAATTCATCAAGTCGGTTTAGGACGTTTACGTTGTCCTTTTCTAGTTGTCGTAACTGATCTCCAAATTTTTCCTCGATTATCTTAGCTAGTTAATGGGCCAGCGGAGCAGATCTTCCTAACCCGATACCTATACTAGTTTGGCAGGTTTGCTCACTCGAGTGAACAGAATGCCCCTTGTTGACACTTTCGACGTGGTCTTCTATTCTCGAAATAGAGGGAGCTGACAAATCAATGTTCCTTTGTTGTGGACCCTTCCCCTTTTGTCGAGTATTCACCATGGTTACTGTTCTTTGGAAAATCTAGTCACTTCCCACAGATGGTGCCAAATTATGCGCGGTGATTTTCGCACAATAGATAAAACGAAAACAGATCTCTCGCTTGGTGAACTCGGTTCGTTGAGAAGGTGGTTGATTCACAACGAGGAATGAGTTGAGAGGGCCAGAGGGGGCTTAAGGAGTGGTGATGAATCACTATAGCGGCTATCCAACCAGTTCCGGTGGGTCAGAGGATGTTTCTAGCGCACAGAAAACGAGTTAGAAGGGCGTTGAAGTATTTTTCAGCGTATCTCATCCGACGATCATGTCAGTTCTTTGAGAGAGGAGATAAAGAAAACATTGTTTATGTTATTGAGGGGTGAAGTTGCGTACCTTTGCAATGTGCTTTTGAGGACTATTTATACCCCTAAAGATCCATCATTACAAATGGTCTAGTCAGTAGGTAGTGTTCAGAAATGAGGTAGTGTGCCTCCTATTTTGCATGGGGGATGCGTCAGTATTAATTGCCCGGTATGCCGAGCACTTTATGTTCTTTCTTCAATGTAGGGACATTAAATGCTCAGGCCCTAGATCACTTAATGCTCTTCCTCCTCGGCTACCAAAGCCATTGTTGATATCCCATCACATGAGAATTCATTAAATGTTTGTTTGTAACAACCGTGTGTTAGCAGGGGTACTTTCATCTTTTTATCCCTAACTCTACACTCTATGCTATGTGCCTAACTCCCCTTGGCTGAGTGTCTGGCTCATCCTGCCATCCTGGTCTCATCGTGCAGAACATCCTCATGATTCCTAGCCTAGTTTGAGACTGGTCAGCTGTCAATCAGTAGCCTCTCCAGAACCTGAGGACATGTGGCCAAATCAGAGCTTCAGCGAGCACCCTCAGGGTTGAGGGCACATAACTTCCCTTGGAATGGAGGTACCCTTAGAGTCAATGACACATGTCTGTCATAGGAAGGAGAAGCACCTCAGCGATGAGCATAAGCACTTGTAGAAGAGCAACATGCCGTCAGAGCCGAGGATATGTGTCATTACCAGGGGCAAAAGACGTGCCCTCAGTGCCAAGGTCCTTGTTAGAACAAAAGTGTACCCACGGCGCCAAGGACATGTGTTGGCCATCCGCTTCCTTCTCAGAAGTGTCACATCAAGCTTGATCAGGGTTCTAGAACTTAATTGGATTAACTTATATATCATTTGTATTTTTTAGCTTTATAATGAACTTATGACTTTTTTGTTTACTTCCATTTTGGATCATTTTTCCTTTCACGTCATTGTGATGCACCAGTGCATAAGAATAATAATACTCTTAATTTTGGTAATTGATATTTAAGTTCTATTTATAATAATGCTATTTTTCTGGACCTCAAATACCTGATTCAAAAGGACTAGAGTAATTAAGTAAATACAAAAATCTAAGAAATAATAAGATATTTTAGATGAACTTTTAAGAAAATAAATTTGTTGATGGTCAGTTAGGTAACCACTCATTTAGGTAACCACTCATTTATATATAGGATGAGAAAGTATGGAGATGAGAATAATTTATGATTATAGATTTTTTTTTAATTTGGGTGATGATTACAAGTTCAAAGATATATTAACATGTTAATGGGGGTATACTTAATGATTAATGGGCTGAGTTTAGTCACAAATTAATGGGAACATAATGGGGTGGGCTTAGTTAGTGTGTACATAGGATGAGTGAACTTATTTATTAAAAAGATGTGTATAGCATGAGGTGAACTTAGTTATTAATAAAATGAGTACAAAAAGGGTGAACTTTGTAGTGTGATAAAAAGAAATTAAATGAGGTAGAAATGCATATTTGTGGAAGTGAGAATAGCCCCACCCAATTACTTTACGTTGCGTTTGGTAACTTTTTTATTTTTTATGTGATAAAAACTGAATATATTTTTTGGTCAAGATTTTGATATTACTGAAATTAGTAAAGAAAACAATACAAACTAGACATACGAAAAGACAAGACATATTAAAAAAAAAAAAAAAAAGCTGCCTCAAAAGACGGAAAGCATCTAACTCTTCCTCTATCCCATGCCCTCTCTAGCTTCTATGTGGAGTACCTCTAGAATCTTGCCTGTTGGGGTTACAACCCAAGATGGAGTCATCAAACCTCTACTTGCTTGCTTGGCAATCAGATTTGCAAGTTGGTTTGTTGTTCGTCTCGTCAATTGAAAGAGTAAGGTTGGGATCTGATTTGTATAAGCCCAAATGTCCCTTTGAATCATTTCAACCTCCTTGATCATCTCCAATGGCCCCTTTCCCAACGTATCCATCAAAACCTTTGAGTCTGATTCAACAATAACATGCTGATATCCTGCCTCTAGAGCCAAATTGCATCCCTTTCTCACCACATATGCCTATGCTACCAAAGAGGACCTTGTTTATAAATCTTGAAGCACCATTAACCATACATCCCTAATGATCTTTTGCTACAACACATAAAGTGGAACGTGAGGCACTCTTTAGAGTAATCTGAAACTCATGGGTAGTATTGTCGCCAATTAATCAAACCTTAAATAAAAGACAAGTGGTAACTTTCTAGAGCATAGCAAAATCACTAAAGAGTTGTACTACAATCGATGTTATATTTTCTTTCGAATCTTTTTAACTTGGTTTCTCACTAGATTTTGTCTAGTGGAGTTTTATTTCTTTGTAAAACATTTTTTTATCTTTATGATTTTTTTTGAGGTTCAAATATGAGAATATTTTTTTTTAACTTGATGTTTGTATCCATAAAATTTCTTTATATCTTATGACAATCTAACCCTAATATTTATACAATAATGAAATGACATAGTGGTTTTATTTTGAAAATAAAAAATAATCTTTACTTGTGAAACATTTATCTAAGTGTAGCCAAAGCTTCGTGATGTGGCCAAAGTTTTATAGTAATCACAGTAAAACATAATTCATAAATATAAGGTTTAGGGTTTAATGAGCCTTTGGTCCAATAATACTCCTTGCCTTGTAAAGACTTTGTTTTCTTGAAATCAAGGGTTCAAACCCTCTTTTCTTCTCCCCCTCGCCAAAAAAAAAAAAAGAAGTGTAGGATTTGGGCTTAGTTTTTTTTAGGTTTGGGATTTAAAAGTTGGGTTTTATAGTATGGGTTGTGGTGATAGAGATTTGGAGTTTAGCGTTTGGGATTTAGGGTTTGAGGTACGAGGTTTTAGAATTAGGGTTTTAGGTTTGAGATTTAGGGTTTGTGGTTTATTAGGGTTTTTAGTTTAAGATTGAAGAGTTTAAGGTTTGGGGTTTATGATTTAAGGGTTCCAAAAAATATTTTTTATCTTAGGGTTGAGACTTCTCCTAGTTTGCCTCTTCTTCTTTCGAAGATTAATGGATCGTTTGATAACGTTTTTGTTTTTACGTCTTCAAAAAATCAAAAACAGAGACAATTTTTTGTCTCTATTTTGTGGTAAACACTGAAATAGAAAACATGTTTGGTAGTCATTTTTGTCTATCAAATTATGAGAATAAAAACAGAAAACATGTTTGGCAATTACCTCAAGTTTTATCCTAAATATGCTTTATATTACCTCATTTTTTGTTTACAAACAAATCAACACTTTATTTCATAAAAAATTATTTACAACCATGAATTAAAGATATTCAACAAAACATCAATCTTGCACAGCCAAATTTCCGAAAAAATTAGTCATGATACAAAGGCCACATCTATTTAGGAGAAGATAACCAAAATATCACTAAAGGACACTTTTCAAAAGCTTATTTAGGAGAAGATACAAAGGCCACATCTATGACCAAATCAATTGATGAAGCTTTTTAAATCACCAAAATACATACAAAAAAAAGGTATCATGAAATAATATGTAGGAAGCCTTTACCTGTGCAATTCCCAAAATTGTTCCAAGATTATTATGTCTTTGCCTGCAATGGTTTGGCATACAATTTATAAGAAATTGGAAATTGCCAATTTTTTGTATAGATTTAATCCGTGTTAAACAGTTCATGTAACTTTGAAATTAGAAATTGTTCGAATAATAAATAGTTCAAAAGATAAATATACAATGGAAATAAGCAGTAATCCAATACTTCAAAAATTCGAAAGCAATGAGCTAGTTTAATCTCAATCTCAATCTCAATTCAATCACAAACACAACACACATAGAATACAACGCACACACACCCAACACACAGAACACACATGCACACACACCAATCACACAGAACACACAGGCAACACACATAGATCTGTGCATATATGCACATATCTATGTATATATACATATATATACACAGATCTGTGTGTATATATATAGAGAGAGCGCGATGAGATGAGATGAGAGAGGAAGAAAGAGAGAGAAAGAAAAGGGACTTACCTCTGTCGGTGAGAGAGAGGAGAGGAGATCTTATCGGTGACGGTGAGAAAATGGAGAGAGTGAGACAGCGATAGAGAGAAGAGAATAGAGATAGTGAGGTAGCGATGGAGAGGAGAGAAAAATGAGGTGGGTTTAAATAGGTTCACGAAAAAAAGACTATTTTTGTTGCTAAGAGAGTTTGAAACTCAGATCTCATTAATCATTTTTAACACGTGTTTTTGTTTCACATGTTTTCTGAAACAAAAATTTTTTGTTTCCATTTTTTTGTCTTTGTCTCCAATACAACGAAAATAAAAAAAAAAAAATCAAAAACAGTTACCAAACATATTTTTGTTTTTATTTTTGACAAAAATTGAAAACAAAAACACAAAATACAGGACAAAAACAGTTACCTAACATAGCCTCAATTTTTGAAAATTTTCATTTTGAGACGTTTCGGTTTTTAAAAAGACTAAAATGAATTATTGATTGAATCGAAATTTTAATACTTTGCAATATTTAAAATATTTCTAGGCGTTTCAAGAGGTTTTGACATGTTTTCCCCTAATATTTTTGCAATGTTTTTGAGATGTTTTAATATGCTTATGTATATTTTGGCTAATATTTTAAAAATAATTTTTAATTTTTTTTTTCTATTTTTATTATGTTTCTAAAACATTCTCGAAACGTTACCAACTTTTCGAGAAATGACACGAGTCATCATGCTTAAAATGATGACGTTCTCGAAACGTTACCAATTAATCATGCTTAAAAATGACATGAGTCATCTCCCTGGTCCCTCCCTTTTGTCCAACAAGTTACCAACTAGCCCATAAAGATGCATTGGCTGCCACTTGATTCTTTTTCTTTGTTTTTTTTTTTAATTCTTTCCTCATCTAGTAGAAACCGAATTTCACCCGCCCGACTTTCAAGCTACTATTGCATAGTCATTCTTAAAACCATATAACACATCACACTTGTCCACCTCTTGTCAAATTATTACTTTAATTTTAATTTTCTTTACTCCATAAATTTTGATCTCAATAAATTTTATAATATTCAACTCTTTTATAATTAAATCCCAATGTATAATTTGACCTCAAATTAACATTCGTATAATTTTCAACAATATCATAAGATCCAAATTTTTTTATTTATTTAATCACTTTCGAGTTGAGGATCGATCTTCACAGTTCTAGTTTAAGTTATTAGACCGGATATATATTATATTATACGATTCAGTCTTTATAAAAATTACGTCAAAACTTGGTTGAAGAATGTTATATATAGAGAGGGTTTTTGTTTCTATTCTTTAAGTGATTCCCAGAGTTTGCTCCCGGAGTTGAGCTACCAACAATTGTCACCCCAAAATTTGTGAACAAATAACAAAGCATTTAACAGATTTGAAGGATGACAACCTACCAAGTTATGCAGAGTTGTATTGTGTTGAAGTATTCTAGTGGATTTAAAGGCCGACCCGAGCTTGAGGTTTTATCTGCCACCACTTTTTAAAAAAAAATTAGCAATGCACGGCGTGCGTTGTACATGAACAAATTTAAATAATATTTTTTTTATAGATGTGAATTATATGTGTAATTAAATTAAATAATAAATTAGGTGTTGAACTATTAATCTATGTTTTAATTATTTTTAAATTTAGTTATTTCTTTATTTTATAAATTTTTGAGTACTTAATCTGTCATTTATTTAAAAATATATTTTTTATTTTGTTAAATAGATGAGTTAGATCACTTATAATTTTATTATATTATTACATACCGAAAAATAAAATATAACATATATTTGAATGAGGAATTCAGTTTGGTAACTATGTATATAAAATTTAACATACATAGAATTTTACTTTTTAATATAGATATAGAAAGTTGTATGTAACTGTACTATTAATAAATGAGTTCAAAAGAATTTAGAAGTCTTTATAGAAGAGTTTAAAACAAGTTGAAAATCAAATAAGAATAAAAAACAAAAATTAGATGAAATTATATAGGTGAGTAAAATAGATTTTATCATAATAATTAAGAATAAAAAAGAAAAACAAAAATTTTTCGCAGATGCTGACATTTATTAGAAGTATAAATGTAAATAAATTTTGTTTTATTTTTTTTTTGTTTTTCTAGGTACTTTATTTTTTGAGTAAACTTGCTTTGCATTTCTATACTTATGTTTTTTTCTCATAGAAGTTTAGTTTATTCTTTCAAGTTTAATTGAATATTTATATATACACTCAGTCACATATATAAATGTTCCAAAGACAACCCCGTGCAAAGAATTTGGACAAACAATTATAAAAAACTTAGAAAGTAATTTTTAAAACTAATTTATATGAGGAGTTATAGTTAGTAGAAGGGTGACTATGCCACATGGTGAAATGTAATTGGATTGAATGTATGAAAATAAATCTAAATATTAATAATTTATTTGCTATACAATATAGTATAAGATTATAAAATATCAAAAATATTACCAAGTGCTAGTATGTCATCTATAAGGGTTCGAACATGCCAAATATTGTGGTTAAAGTTGTTAAACAATCAGAGAAATTTGAATTAGGTGAAGTTCTGATTCTTTTTGAGGTCAGTCAAATTACAAAATGGAAAGAATTTAATTAGATTTTTAAGCTTGTTTTAGATCAACAGTTCATATCCAAGTATGGCTTGACTTAAATTGGTTACTACCAACCAAGCTCTATTAGAAAAAGAAACAATTCCAAACTTATCATCAAGCAGCTTGAAATCCTATAAGCTTCTTTCTTCCTCTCTTCTTTCATATGTTTTTGAAAAATGCAAACTTTTGATGTTTGATTTTAAGATTGATTATATATGATGAGCCCAAATTTGACTAGACACAATTAAAATAAACCATGAATCCCAAGTACTCAGGACCCAAGACAGAGCCCAAGGGAAGCTGGGTTGAACTGTTAGGAGGGAATCCATCAAGAGGCAAACGTCAAAGAGACCAACGCCCAAGAGGCCTACGTCCATGAGGTCGGCGTCCAAGAGGCCAACACCCAAAGCACTAAGAGCTAACACCCAAGCACTTGGGGCGCCGCCCAAGGGTCACCCAAGCCAGGCGCTGCCCAAGGCTGCCCCCTTGTCTTCCTATATTCTCTTGATTCCAATGTAAACCCAAGCCTACTCCGATCCAAGTTCAAGGTTAAGACCAAGCCCAATCCAGCTCAGGATTTTCCTCCGATTGAATTGGAGCACGAGAGAGAGAATATCGGGATAGAGATCTAAACTTACAATGATTGCACTTACCAAAATAATGGAGGATCTCTTACTCACGTCACTGCTTCACCGCCTTATCCTAACTATATAATATATGCCCTCTCAACATTGAGGGCACGCCTCTGAAGCCCCTACACACCTTTCTACACACCTTGTTCTCTTCTCCCAAAACATTGTAACTCCTTCAGAGAATACTCTTCTAGCAACTTTGATTAATCAATAAAGCATTTTCGACCACCACAGTCGTTCCTGAGAGTGAAATAGGTCACCCGAACCGAATCACTATAATTCTCTGTGTTGGCTCTTTATTTACAGCTTTATCATTAATTACTTGTTTACTGTTTATTGATTGTCCCCGTTCACATTCTTGACTGTTGATTTTGCGCAATACCGATTTGTGCACTATTAATATACACATTTTGAAATTTTTTGTTAAAAAATTAATTATTTTAATATTGGTTATTAAGTACTTAAGTTCAACTTGAATGCTTGTAACCTACTGTCAATGTAAACTTTAGTAAATATCTAAGCTTCACAATGGAGCTCCACTCAAGTTCTATTTAGGCCAATAACAACTGAGTCGAGTTTAATTATACTCCTAGTCCTAGATTCTCTATGGGGTGTGTTTGGGTAATGGGGTGGGATAGGGTAAGTTTTCTTTTTTTATATCCTAATCAATCTAAGTCAAATCCACTCATCCACTTTAAAACTCTAATCCAAGATTATATCTAATTCTAACCTTTGTTTGGGAAACAAATGTATAACTCAGTGGACCCCATAGATTACATAAATAATTTTGTAGTAATATACCATTCTACCCATGACTCTATCCATTCCAATCCAAACCAATCATATCCTATATTTAGTTAACCCATCAAAGCCTAATAAAATTATACATTTTTCACATATACATAAAAACATATAAAAATAAAGAAATTTTAAATATATATATATGTATATAGTTTGACATTTTTTTTTTCCAAACAAATCAACACATTCATTTCTTAAAAATTGATTACAATGAGAGAAAGACAAACAACCTTGCTTTAATATGTTTGGACCGGTGGATTATTCTAATAAAATTATACAGTTTTCAAATATACTAAAAAAAATTTAAAAATTATATATGATTTAGACCCCTTGTTTAATTTTTTAGTTTTATTTCAATAGATAGTATAATTATATACTAATTATGATTTTTTAAGAAAAAATTAAAATTTTATTTTTAATTTTATTTCAATAAATAATACAATAGAATATGAATTTTGATTGTAAAATAATATTTGATATTTTATCTTTGATTGGAGTATTTTTGTTCTAAATATAATATTTTAAATTTAAGGGGTCTAAGTATTAAATACTTATTACAAACTTCAAAGAGGTTTAAGTGTAATTTATTAACGAATATATTTATCTTGAGGAGTCTAAGTGTTACACGCGTATAAAATTAAGGGAATTTGTGTGTAATATTTTAAATATCAAGAATTTGAATAATTAAATGACAAAATTTAGGAAATCTAAGTGTAATTCTCCCTAGTTAAATCCCTCAAACCCAGAAGAAGCTAGAACCATCCATCTACCCGTGATGGTCCGCACCTACCCTATACGTCCAACCACCACCATTAAACCCACCACCATCACCAAAACTCATCGCCCCATATCTCCCACCACCTTAACTCCCATCTCTCTCTCTCTCTCTCTCTCTGCTACATATTTATCATCGTCACCATGGATATGCCACTGATTGTGCAGGTGATGTCTCTGGTTGTAGCCATCACGATTTGGTGATGGGTTTTATATTGCGATGATGGGTCTGATGGTGGCCATGGTGGTGCAATCTGAAGTCACGGGTAGCGACAAAACACACACACAAAGAGAGAGGGACTTGTCGTTGGTTGTGAGTGGATGGAGAAAGAGAGGGGCAAATACGTTTGTGTGGGGAGTAACCCAGTGCATGGGTATGTAACCCATGAGGGGGTGGGTTATGTGTGACCGGCGTATGGGGGTTAAATGAAACTGTAGCAATCGGGTCAAGGTTTGACCCGGGATTGGTATCCTACCTAAAAAATGACTTCCCAAACAAAAGTTTTATGGGCCCACTTCTATTTTATCCTATCATACTAGTAAATAACCACTTTTATCCTTCTACCCAAACGCCCCATCGTGTCTTTGACCCATGGGCTAGTGTATGACTGTATTTCCCCCCACCCACACAAAGCCCAACGAGGGGCCCAATTGTAGGACCAAATACTTCAAGCCTCTATCGACGTTATCGTGGTGCTCATTCCAAATCGAAGATTAAAAATCAGAGAGGCTAGGGTTTTGAATTCATCTCTCTCCCTCTGTCTCTTAAACGTTGATTGGACGCAGCAAAGGGTTAACGATTTGTATTTGTGTATGAATTCAACTCTTCACTTTGCTCTAAGTTTGATGAAATTATTGATTTATTTCGACATACAATTATATGTTTAGGCTGTGTTTATGTGCTTATCAAGTTATTGTATTTCGTAATTTTAATGGGCTTGATGTTTTTTACATGTAGGAATGAGGTCGAGCTCTTCATCGTATCGTTCTTTTTGGTGACAATTTACGGTATTTATATTGGAACATATATATATTTGTTTTTATATGTGAGCTGAAAAGGGTGTGTATCTGTTGAAAAATTATGTCTGAGATACAGACTTCGGGAAAACCGATCGATCAACTGTTGGAGAAGGTTCTGTGTATGAACATTCTCTCTTCTGATTACTTCAGAGATCTTTTTAGATTGAAAACTTATCATGAAGTGATTGACGAGATTTACAACCAAGTCGATCACGTGGAGCCATGGATGACTGGAAATTGTCGGGGCCCTTCAACCGCGTTTTGCCTTCTCTACAAGTTCTTCACTATGAAGCTTACTGTCAAGCAAATGCATGGTTTATTAAAGCACCAGGATTCTCCTTACATCAGAGCTGTAAGTTGATCTGTTGCCCCTTGTTTGTGACACTTGATTCATGTGTGTTTGCATGATTTGAAAGTTTTCTATTATTACCAGACAGATTGATAATATTGTCTTTAGATGTATAGTTGTTCCATCAGTTACCTATGTAGTGCAAGTTTCCTGGACTGGTTTGAAAGTGGAAATATCTCCCAAATAGAGTCCATAAATTCAGTCTGACATTAAATGTGGAATTAGGACTTAATATGCATCCTGATCAAGTGTTGTGCATTAGTTCTATCCAATGATTGATATTTGATACTCCTAAATTCTTTTTTCAGATTGGATTCCTCTATTTAAGATATGCTGGGGATCCAAAAACATTATGGGGTTGGTTTGAACCTTATGTGAAAGATGATGAGGTATTGTTTCTCCTTTTCCTTCTGATAAGTTGTGCTCTTGTTTGTGGCTTAAATATAAACTTATAAGCAGGTGCTCTTGAGGTGTTTTGGCCGCCCTTTTTGATGAATCTGGGTTTTCAGCGTTTTCTGTTTTTGTAGAATTTCAGTTTTTGTGTTTTTTTGGCTATTGGAACTTCTCAAACAATCATCGCATGTGTCCTCCAATCTTGAACATGTCCACTTGTAACTTGAAAATGAAGTTTCACAATTCAAGATGTTGACCCTACTTTTGGACACTCTCAAAGGCATAAGTGAACAACTTGGACAGTAGGAGATGCCCTTCTTGTGGTATGGAAAACAATGTTACTTTAAAGAAAAATTAAATTAATGTGTATCTATTACTTTGGAGAATTTTGAACTTGTTTATAATAGTTGCAAAGGTGCAAGATATGTGAGCTAGTTAATCAAACCTTTACAAGGTTAGGAAGAAGATAGCGGTTATCATCATGTGCGCATATAACTTTTTTCTTTGTGGATAAAACATAGTCGGTGGTTGTAATTTTGTTTCATGGGAATGTCTGTTTGGGCTTATACATGGCTCACATGTTTTTTGTGTTATGTGTTTCATACTTGATGGCTTGAGATGCAAGGGCTTTAGCTTCTTTTGGGTTTAGTTGCTCACACTTGACGAAGGGCGTTTTACACTTCTGGTTTGACCTCTGCATCGTCCTAGTTTGATTCCCATAAATAGTCATTTTCTTCACTTCTTTTTGGTTGCTCCCCCTTACCCTACCTATTGTGCTGTGTAAAATGAGTGAGGATCTGATTACTTACGATTCTAATTGCAAACAATTATTGATGTTAGATGACTGTAGATATGTTCTTCCTCGTGAGGATTTGGATCTGGGGGTAGATTGGTCTTTTTTATTGAGATGGCATTATTTAGAAATAGCGGATTGATTTCCCAAAAGTCCCATTTTTCAGACATATGTCTTTACCCTTTGATTATACAATATGAGTAAAGAAAGTAGTGAATTACTTTTGATACAGTTGCTTTTATTTAGTAAATTTAAGAATTATTTCTGGAGATTATTTTGGCCTAAGGTATTGTTTTGCTTGGACTTACAGTCTTCAGGCTTTGCTAAGTTTGGGGCTATCAACATATGGTAACTTTATGCATCTTGTACATCGTACACTCTGTTGTTATCTACTTAGTTCCTTTTTGATTAAATGACACCTTTTTATGATGGCTATTGTTCCAGGGACTTCTTCTGCTTTAAGGCTGTGCAAATTTATGTTTTTAATATTCCAAGAGTAACATATTAAGATTAAAACAAGCATGCAACCAAAGTATGGGTTAAGAGGCAAATGGTTCAGGAGATATCATCAAAGGTTATAAGAAGGATAGAATTTTCAAGCTTAATTCAAAGGCATTATTTAATACTCTACTTTGGGCCTACAATCATTGATTAGATGTATAGCAGAACTAAAAGTGATTTCTAACCCAATACTATCCAAAATAAGAGAAAAATAGCCATTAATTATTGCTGGTTCTGTTGTGAAACGGTTGAGGGGGTGGGTGGTGTATATATATAAGCTTTAGCATCATTTGCACTAAATATACCTTTAGCTCAGACCAATTTTTATGTTTGAGAGGTTGAGCTTCTATCATTGTACGAAACAATGACCCTTGATTATCTGAAAAAAGAGACTTCTTTTATAATGCTAGCTCAGTTTAGGGTTGTCAATTGTGTTGGTGCGGGCTAGACAGAAACGTACTTGAGCTTAGCCCATAGTTTTAATGCCTCAACCCGAATTTAAATGTTGATTACGTAAATCTAGATTAGTCCGTTATGTTGGTATGCTTGTTGTATCATGTTTGCTGTTAGCTGTGAGTCTTTGTGTTATGTTTGCTGTTAGCTGTGAGTCTTTGTATGATGCATAGAAAAGCGAACATGAGATATTTTAATACAGTGAGCAACCTTAGCTCCAAGTTAGCCATCATTCAAGCTAAGCCTGACTGGAAAGTAGTGATGGAAAATATTATTGAGCTTGGGTCAGGCCAGACTCGATTTATCCTCAGACTCAAAGTTTTTGGTCCGAGTAGGATGCTGTTCTTTGACAGTCCTTTAGGCACATGAACGCACTGCTTATAACAAGAAACCTTCTAATTTTCTGAGACCAAATTAAATTCCAGGATGCATTATTTGGTATTTCTTGGCTATGTAAGCTAATCAAAAGCATAATGGTGCAATTAGAGGTCAATGAACTGGTTAGTTGTCATTCCAAGGGCTTCAAATACTTTCTGATAAAAAAAGAACTTCAGAAATCAGATATGACCCTTTCTATCATTCATAAAGAACTCAGAGAATCTCTTTTCTCAAGGTTGTATTCGAACCATTTTACTCTCCCTTGTCAATGCATAGGATGCTTTCTTTTAGAATGGCCAGGTATTATATCACTAGCACTTGAGGATTTGGAGACTTCTCAAATAGTTCCAGGAACTTCCTCTATGGTTTTTGCTGTATCCCTTTTTCATTACCTGCAGCCTAACTTTTGATACTTTCATTCTGGTTGATATTTTATTTGACTGTGCAAATAAAACAGTTATAGTTACCTTCTTTCTGTTTTGAGGCAATTTCCTTGAGGCATTCATTATAATTGTGTTTTTTTTTTCTTCCAGGAATTCTCTCCTGGATCCAGTGGTAGGATGACAACAATGGGTGTTTATGTGCGAGATTTGCTTCTTGGACAGGTCAGGTGACTGATCATACTTTTGAATCACTGCACTGTTCAATTCATTGTTGTTGTTTCTTCATGTTTTACTGTTTATATGTTTCTTGTTCAGAATTTTCTTATTATCGGTTAGCTTTTGAGTAAGATTTGAGCAACTTGTAATTGTTTCTTCTTTGAGGTTATGTTTTTCAATTTCCATAAAGAGAAAAAAAAAAGGTAATTGTATTGAAATTCAATTGCTGAAGCTCCTACCGGCCAACAAAAAGTTTACCAATTGCAATGCACAGAACCATCAGTTGATTCTTTGGATATTCTACTCAGTCAACGTTAGGATTGAGAGTTACCATGTGATTTGTGTTGAGAATGCTAGTTCATCATACATCTTTCCTTCGCTGCAACAATAATCTACTACCCTGAAGAAACCTGGAATTAATAATCCACTTTGTGGTAACAACAGTTGATTAGTTTCTCCTGCAATGGTTTCATATCGCAGATGCTCTATTCTTAGGTTTCATACTCATGGATACAATCTAAATATACATGTGTATGGTCCTGTATGTACATATCAATGTTACTTGAATCGTGGGTCGTTTTGGTACGTGGTATGGGTACATGGTACAATTCTTTCTTAGGTACGCTGTACAATGGAGATAGGTTTAGCTAGTACGGTATTTTGGGTCGTAATTCATTTTGGAACTCTTATGTAAATCATTTTCACTACTATATTACATTATATATTACAGAACATTCATGAACACTAAGTTAGTTACCATTTATCTTATAGTTGTGTTTGATTTTTTATTATCTAAAACAATATATAATTATAAATCTATATAAATGTAGTTAATTAATATGTATTTTATATTTGTGCTTGCATGTTTTAAAGTGAATTGATTTAGGATTAGTATTTCAATTTGAGGTTGTCCATTTTGATGATCTGGATGGCAAACTCATTTCGTTTGGAATTGATTTACCTAGATCGTGGGTCATTAAGGGTTTAGTGAATTGTGGTAACCATGGTACATATTCTCTTCCCGTTACGAGTAAATATTGGTGATAATTTTTTAGACAAAATTCAGGGGTTACACATTGTGGGAGGGGGTTTCATGTGACAACTGACTGCAACAAAATCATATTTTCCACTGTTTTTATTGCTGAATGTTGTGTGATACCATCTCATAGTTGTATTGAGCATCCTCAAAATGTTCCATTGTGTGCCAATGTAATAAAGGCAACCCTTTTTTCTTGGAATATCTGCTCATCTTGAAAAGAAACTCCTGCCATTTTCACATTTTGAAAATAAAATACTGAAAGTTTGATATATTCTTGAAACTATCACGAGAACCAAGAAAGGTCGGGGGAGTGGCCGCTGGTTATGGACTTCTAATGACATCAAATTTACCTTATTTTGACTTGTACTTCGAATTGTTTGAATCATTTGCTTCTTGTTATTGTGGAAGTTTTATAGTAGAATTCATTATTGCGTTGTGTTGCGTACATCTAATCCTCCCTAGACCTTGCAATGGCGGGAGCCTCGTGCATTGAGTATACTTTTTAGTCAAGTTTAAGAGGCTCAGTATGGATGCGCCAAATAGGTAGAATTCTTGTGATTTCGCTTTTTATAAGGAAATGAGAGTTGGACAAGTCGTCCAACTCCAAATCAGGTAAATCAAAATCTTGTGATTTCTCAACAGTTCACAACTTAAGAATGACAGAAACCTTAACAATGCACTTAATTTTATCCTTTTGGGCTTTAGGAAAGATGATAACATATCTGCGGTCAACGAATGTGATTTGAGGAGCCCAGAAAAAATACAAAATCGAAAAAATACAGAATCCTCAGCCAAGCTTTGTTTGGCTTTTTAACCAAGGTCTGCTTAGAGCTTTTCCTCCAACAGTACTTTGGAGCTGAGAAATAGGGATCTCACTCAAATATTCTAGTTATGCAAAAACTTTGAGGAGCATCAGGAGAGTGGGAATGGGTAACAGTTCATTTTACTTTTTCTTTGTTTCTTGGTTTTTGTTTTTGTTTGACTCCTCAATCCTTTTTAATTGATCTTGGCATGACAAGCTCCCATCTAATGTGGGCACATGTGGTAGTACGATCATGGCAAATTCAAGACCAACTTGTGTATTGATAATTTTTATTTGTTGTGTCACTAGAAAAAGGCACGATTTTCATGCTTCATTTATGTAGAACCTTCCACTGATTGCATAAAGTTTGCATAATATAGTTCTTGTTGGTTTGTATTTTGGACCCCAAGGCAAGAATTTAACCAGCTCGCTTTGTATTGTAGTACTACTTTGATACACTTTTTCCTCGCATACCTGTCCCTGTACTGCGGCAGATTGTATCCAACCTTGAAAAGATGAAGCTACCCTCCAAACATGCTGGTGTGACTGGGGATACCACCCGTGGATCTGATGACACTGCCCGTCGACCACCATCTGTCAAAGCTGCCCTTTCTGTCTCTTTTGGTCAGCGTGCCCCTCATCGTGCATCAACTAGGGATTCATCCCCTGTTCGCCGTACCCTGCCACCACCTTCTTATGATAGGAACAGCGTTGATGATTTGAGAAAATCTCCCAGCAGCCGTCGCAGTCAGAGCCGTGAATTGTCTGACCGAGAATATTTAGACAGGGACAAGGGCAGGGATAGAGACAGAGACAGGGACCGAGATAGAGACAGAGATGCGGATAAGGACAGGGACAGGGACAGGGACAGGGATAAGGAGCGAGACCGAGACAGAGACCGGCAAAGAGATAGGGATAGGGATAGGGATCGGGAGAGGGGCAGAGACCGGAGGCCTGACTATGATAGAAGGTCCAGAGAAAGCAGCAGAAGGGATTACAATGGAAGCAGCCGTGACGTCAGTAGGTATTATAGGGAAGCTGGTTCTCGTAGAAGCAGAAGCAGAAGCAGAAGCAGGAGCAGAAGTCAAAGCATTCATGCTCAGAGTGCTCGTGTTGACAACCTTCCGAGCCCGCCTAGAAATGGAAGCAAGGAGAGGTTGTCAGCGTCTAGCAATCTGGCTAAGCTTAGAGATCTGTATGGTGACTCGAGTAACCAAAAGGAGGATAATGGCCAAGAGAGGGGTCCTAATCGGGCTAATGGTGCTGATGAGGTTATCAGACTTGGTGGTTCCTCTTGGAAGTAAAGAGCGAAATTCTATCATGCAATATGCTCGATTTGTCATTTGGGTCCTATCTGGCAAAACCAATTTCTTCCTTTGATCAAGTAGCGAAATTGGCTTCCAATTCCTTCGTTCAACTTCATTTTCGCTGTGCATTATCATCTACGTTGGCAATGTTATTTACGAACTCAGATGTAGTGATTTGCAGCTGGGACGGGGCTGCATGTATACTAGATGTTAACATTTGGGTATTTGTTATTTCCTTCCAGTGTACTCTAATTGTTCCCTTGTTCTAAAGAATTTTACCAGAATGTTGTGGTGGAAAGACTGATTAAATGTCAAAAATAATCTCTTCGACTTCAATGAGATTATTGTTCCATGCGTTTTGTCATTCGAAGACACATTTTTTTCCCAGGGAATTAGGAGAAATTGATGCTGGCGGACGATGCACCGCCTTCCCTTTAGTTTGATGGGAACTGTTGTTCTGTACTTCACCATATTACTACTCTGCTTGTTGCCCTCAGTTGCCATAGTACCTGGAATCCCTCTTACTCTGCGAACAAGCAAATTATACTATTTTGACAAACTTCAGTGGATATTTTATTGTGTTTAATTGTTTTCCTTGATGGATGACTTACTGTATATAACGATTTTTAGGCTTGGAGATGGTAGGGGAAAGGTCCGGACTCAGATAATTATGCTAGAAATATATACATTGTTCCTTTGACAATGGGGAAGTGGAGTTGCAATTTTGGAATGAGATATAAAAGTTTAAGGAAAAGTAATAAAAATTGTAGGGTCTCGATCAAGTCGTTTATATTTTTGGTCGTATCAAACATTTTGATATTAATATGATTTGTATAATAGTTGTATTGTATAATTTTGAACTCAAAATTTTGTAAGATCTAAAAATTCGATGATAATGAAAAACTAAATAAAAAATTCATAGATTCTATAAAGATTGATACAATAACAAATCAATCAAAAGAATAAAAAAAATGAAAGAATCGGATTTTTTTTTTTTGGTTTTGATAATAAGTTTGTGATGATCAAAAAATGAAACAAATATTCATATTCAATCGCAGTTGCCAAGTTGGTAATCACTAAGATTATGAGCACCCCACATGTATGGCACCATGGAAATCTCACTCTCTTCAAGAGGGGGCTCTTGCTGAAAACCTTTCAGCATCTCGGCATAACTGTCCCCAATCACTGCAATTGATACTTCCTGCATCAGCAGCCATGGATGCTTCCGAAGCTCGACTCCATTGTTCTTGACATTCAAACTCGTTTCCTCCACAATGCAATGTCGTCCCTGATTCACCTCCCACAAGTAAGGGTGATAATGGTGGTAAAGGTGATAATGCCACATTTGTATCCAAAATGTCATATTCAAAAGGATAAGTAAAAGGTGGTACTGATGCCATTTCCATAAGCATGTTCAAGTCATCAATCCACCGGATTGTATGGGGACTTGTTCTGTAGTTTCTGCCAAGGATGCTGCTGCTACTATATTGTTGCCACTGCTTGCATATTCTTGACACTGATGATCATATCCTTCAAAATGGGACAGTGAGTGGTTGTGTTGGATCGATTCACCGTTTGGCAAGGTGACAACTGATGAATCCACATTGTCACATTCAGGCCAAGCAAATAGCGGTGCTGTTGACAAGTGATCATTAACCCAACTGGATTGCGTAGCACCAACTTCTACCATGAATGAAGATTCCGGAAGCAGCATGTTGAAGTTGTTAATTCCACTGGATTGTTTGGCTACTGCTTCCAGATTGTGCGGCCAAAGCTTCTTCAGATTGTGACATGGATGCTGCAACTAAGATGTTCTTATTGGTTGTGTATTGTTGAAGCTGGTATCCTTCATTCTGGGGCAACAACAAGGGGACCGACTGAATCGATTCGTGGTATGGCAATGGAGCAACTTCAAAATCATCTCCAGCAGCGATTAACATGGCTGACTGGTAATTTTCTGTTGGTTCTTCCAAGTTCTCCTTTGAGAGACGCCTTTCCGGAAGTTTTTTCTTCTTGATGCGACAAAGCACATAATCCTTGAATTTCACCTGATAATCAAGTCAATTAATTTGGGTTAGTTAACAAGGAAAAGAATGAGATCCTCAAAGGATTTATTTGGTTCGGGTACAAATTGGATAAGCAATGCTGGGCTCATGCTTTTAGTAAAAAATCCACATAAAATCCAAACAAATTCTATGTGTTTTGAGAATGGGAAAGAAAAGAAGAGAGATAGAGCAGAATCAATAAGGCTATACTCTTTCATATTGTATCTGGCTTTGCCGTTGCCCTTTGTGGTCTAGTAAACAAAGTTTCTCTTCCATCCAATATATCTATTTCCTCTATCCATTACAGGCTTCTTGTTATCGACACTGCTCCATGTACCCTTCTCCACCACCTTGCGTTCTATTTGACTGCTATTCTCACTCTTCTTCTTCAACTTGGTGAAAACGTAAACAACTTCCTCTTTAGATCCCGCAAGTAGATCCATCGGCTTGACTTGACCATAAAGATCACACTCGGTCACAGCATCGTTGCACTGCAATGGCTGCCCCATGGCCTTGCACAAAAGATAGAACATCAACTCTCCTGCCCTATGGCCTTGCGCAAAAGATAGTACATCAACTCTCTCTGTTGGGTAAAAAATATAACCCACTGGAACGTTTGGCACCACCATATCTCAATACTCTGTTGGAAATTAGGATTTGTACGTGAGAGGGGTTGACTGCTATTGCTATATTTATAGGGACAATGGTTTCATCTCATGCAAACTCTTGGTAGTTTAGGATTAGTCAGAAGCTTCCAAGAGAATAAAACTTACCTCATGCAAGGCCGGCCATAAGATATTATGGACAAAATTTGAGGATATAAGGTGGCTGTCTAAGTCCCCAAATAAACAGTAATATTGGGGCCCAATTTTTTTTTGACCATTCACAAGAGACGCGTGTAACTACATCCGTTAATCAGTTTAAATCTCCTCTTTATATAGAATCATTATGATACAAATTTAAAACTTGAGAGACTAAAGTGCACAAGTAAAAGAATGAGTACTTGAGGAATTACTGATGCTTTGCACTATATTAAAAAGAATGGGATACACTCTTCTTCATAAGTTTTGTGATATTTCAATTGTGAAGCAAGTGTTTTTCCCTCCTAACCTTCACAAAAGGAAAAATCATTATTTTAATGTATTGGTCTCTACAAAGGATTTCACCTGTAATCGACGAAATTAAAACAAATAAAGTGACGGTAAAAGGATTTACAAAAGAGATAATTTTTTTTTAATTAATCTAGAAGGGAGATAATTTTTTTTTATTAATCTAGAAGGTCTCTAAGTTACAACAGACTGATGAAACAGTCTTTAAAGCTACTCGTAACTTTAAATCTATGTTAGAACTACTTAATCGTGGGTTTTTTATGAATTTGATCATGTCTTCTTGGTTACTCTGGCTTTTTCAAGTAATTTCTTATCCAGTTTCTACCTTGTCTCAACAGCTACTTTTCAAATTCCTAGAGCTCTGATGCTAATAATTGCTGCTTTTTCAAATTCCAAGATAACCATTTCATTCCCTCTCTTATAGAGGTTGTAACTACTCTTAAATTTGAACAGGCCACATTGACTAGTTACATATTCAAATTTAATAAAATGAATGTCACGTGGCGAATTCTTTTGCTGACTTTGTTCAATGAACATGTGCCATTCACCGCCTCTTTATAGTAAAATATAAAATTGGTCCAAACATGATGTTTGTTTTTTAAAGCTAATATACTATCTGAAGGGGGTTGCTCCCTTTATCACACGTATCGTGACATTTAATAAGCTCACGTGAGGATGACAAGACAAGGCACATGAGAGAGGCATAAGTCACTGAGTTAAACAGGCCTAGCCGAACTGGTTAATAAGCTTGGCAAGCAGAGAGAGCTCGACACTTACCAAACTGTGCCGTTCAATGAGTTAGAGAGCAATGAAAGAACTTGGCTCTAGTCAAGGTGTTTGGTGTGTACGAAAAAGCTTGGTCCTCGATATGATTGAGCTGATTTAAAACAATAAACAAAAAGATAAAGATTCACCAAAAACTTAGGCGTACAAGATAAGCAAATAAGCTTAATTATAGGCCAAGGGAATTGCCGGAGAGATTTTAGCAGCTTTCCAAACTGAACCGCTTAATTAGAGGAAGGTGTGCCACCTTAAATCGAAATTCATGAAAACCCTAACTGAACGGGATCTATAAAAACCAAAAGAAGCCGAGGGTGAAAGGTACGCTGAATTTTCCTTGACTTCTTGCAATTGTCTCAGTTCCATTATTGACTTAAGCATCAGAGTGCCTTCGATCGAAGCACTTCAATCTTGGGCAGTTTGTTCGTTTTACAGGAAATAAAGTCTGGGAGATCAAGTTCAGAACTCACTTTTATTAGAAACATTCAATCTTTATTATTGTAGGAGGTATCCTTAATTTTTACCCCTTACATTTTTTGGCGCCATCTGTGGGAAAATTCTTATTACTCGAACAAAAAATAGAAATGTCAAGACTCAGAAGTGCTATTAGATCTCCTGTAGGCAGTTTTGCCATGGGTAATTCAGATCCAGCGTCACTTCCATTTGGTAGTAACATTAGATTCTGTATGAACAGAAGCCCATCTAGGCCCCACAAGGATGACGAGGTATCCTCAGCAAGCTTCAAGCGAACCAGGAACTAGAACCAGCAGATTGAAGACCATAGTGAATCCCTCCGTGCCGAGGGGGAGAACCATTCCCTGACAAAGTTGGTCCAATCCCTACAAGATTGTCTTAATGCTCATGAAAAATTGTTTAAGAAATCATATGCCAGGGAGAAAGACCTGATAAAAGAAAAAAAAGAGTTGAAAGCCAAGCTGAAGGGGTTGATCAGAAAAGAGAAGCGTGAGAGGGACAACCGGTGAGAAAGTACCGAGAAAAAACATGATAGAACCAGGGACGCAAAGGATGATAAATTCCAACAAAAAAGACCTTGGGTTCTGGATGAGAACTCATGGAAACAATACATTATCGAGGAACTCAACAATCGCTTGAAAAAGCCAGAACAGAGATCGACTAGGGACCTAGCCAGGAGAGCAACAGGGGAATACGTGAATGGCACCGAGTTGTCACCTTTCACTTCATGGATTGAAAGGGGGAGAATCCCGAGTAAGTTTACTGTCCCCAATTTCAAACTGACCCAACCTTGCATATCAGACATTATAGACAGTTGATGACCATTCATTGAAGGAACGAGTCACTGCTTTGCACCATCTTCCCTAGCAGTCTTGGGGAGTCGACCATGAAATGGTTCGACAGTTTGTCAAAGGGATCGATATATGGATGGTCACAACTGGCTGAGTAGTTCACGGCTAGGTTCATTACGAGTAGTAGGCAGCCAAAGGATGTTGGGGCTCTACTGACGTTGAAGAAGAAGAATAATGAAACCCTGCAAGAGTATGCTCATCACTATTGGGAAACAATAAATGAGGTCGAATGATGTAATCCTGAAATTACAGTTGCATCCTTCAAAATCGGATTGCCAAAGGAGAACCCCTATACCAATCACTCACCAGGAGGCCAGCTACCAACCTAGAAGAATTGATGGCGAGGATCGAGAAGTATGCCAAAGTCGACGACGACTTATTCAGAGAAGTGGTTAAAGAGCATCAAGGCAGGAGACAGTTCGAGCGTGACAAGCAGATCAAGCCGACTCGAGAAGGTGGTAGAAAGAATGAAAAGGACAGCTACCCACAAAAGTCCCATTTTCTTGGGGTAAATACATTGTTTAAAGAACCGATATATAAGATATTGAATCAAATCAAGGCAAGACCATTCTTCAAGTGGCTTAATAAGTTAACAGGGGATCCTACGAAAAGAAATCTAAATTTTAGATGCTCATATCATCGGGATGTGGGACACATGACTGAGAATTGTTGATCTTTGAAGCAACATTTGGAGGAGCTGGTTTAGGTTGGACATCTCTCGAGTTTGTCAAGGAAGAAGTAAGAGTCGACAAAGAGATAGCCGAGCCGAAGAGAGACCAGACCACAACGACAGGAGTGATAGACATGATACACGCTGCCACAAACCCGCAAATGACCACTAACAATGTTGCCAGGGCTTACATCTAGAAAGCCGCAAAGGAAAGAGAGGTGTTCAAATTGCGGTTGACCACAGAGGTAAAGGCCAAGAGAATGAATTTTGAGGATGCAACAGAGATGATTTACTTCTCTGAGCAGGATTTGATCGGGATTCATCAGCCGCATAATGATGCGTTAGTGACAATACTTAGAATTGCCAACTACGATGTGAGAAGAGTACTAATTGATCCAGAGAGTTCCTCCGAAATCATGTACATGGATATTTTCGAGAAGCTCGGTCTCAAGCAGGAGAATCTTAAGCCCTCAAATACTCCACTAATTGACTTTAGTGGGAAAACAATTCTTCCCAAGGGGAAGATCACGCTGCCTATAAAGTCTAGGCCAGTGTGTGTTATGGCCGAGTTCTTGGTACTAGATATAGTATTGGCTTATAATGCGATCATGGGGCGGTCCTGGTTACATGAGATGAAGGCGGTACCATCAACATACCACTAGATGCTGAGATTCCCTTCATTTGAAGGGATAGTGAACAACCGAGGAGACTAGGTCACTTCCAGAACCTGCTTACTGGCCTCAGTCAAAGCCAAAGATGGAGTAGAGGTTCGAGAGAGGAGTTCAATAGCCGAAGAGGTGAAATAACAATAAACCCTTGACAGCTCGGTTGATTCCGCTGAACAAGCTGTCATGAAAAGCCCTAAAGTACCTTTAGGTACAGAAAAAGAAGTGACAGGCTGAACAATCGAAGACTTGACTAAAGTACTTTTAGCAAGGATAGTGGAGATTAAGAAAAGTACTTTTTGTTGGGAACTGCTCTTAGACCCGAGCAGCAAAAAGAGCTCGTCACCTTGCTGCGAGAATATGTTGATGTTTTTGCTTGGTGCACAAGTGATATGCCCAGTATACCGACCGAAGTGGTATGTCACTGTTTGAACTTTGACCCTAGCTTCAAGCTAGTCAAGCAAAAGCTTAGGAGGTCGGCTCCTCAGCATCAAGATGCAGTAAAAGAGGAAGTAGCACGATTTCTTGCATCTCAAATAATTAGGGAAGTACAATATCCGACCTGGCTATCAATCATCGTGGTGGTGAAGAAGAAGAATGAGAAATAGAGAGTCTGTGTGGATTTCACCGACCTCAACAAATCCTATCCAAAAGACAGTTTTCCTCTGCTTAAGATAGATCAATTGGTCGATGCAACTGCTAGGCATGAGCAGATGAGCTTCTTGGATGCCTATAGAGGATACCACCAGATCCCCTTTGCCATGGAAGATCAAGAAAAGACCGCCTTTATAACGCCCAAAGGGACATATTGTTACAAGGTAATGCCTTTCGGGTTGATAATCAAGATTGGTAATCAAGATGTTCTCACACATGATAGACAGTACTATAGAGGTCTATATTGACAATATGGTGGTGAAGAGTCGGAGAGCCATTAGTCATTGTTTTGACTTGAAGAGTACATTTGATGTTTTACAGAGATACAAGATGAAATTGAACGCTTCAAAATGTGCATTTGGGGTCGGATTAGGGAAATTCCTTGGCTTCCTGGTCACCCATCGAGGTATAGAGGTGAACCCCGTC